CATTCAAACAACACATCCTTATATACTTTAAGTATTAATTTTTTTGATTCTCTAGAAAATCTTGAAAATTATAGATATCTATCATATTATATTATACTATACTATTATAAATCATAGATAATCTATCTATTATCTATCATACCGTGAGATACCTATACCACCATTAACTTATTATATACCTATATACGTTTTACTCCTTATAAATATTAACTTCTATTATTTATGTATTTTCCTATATTATTATTATATACTCCTTATAAATATTAATTTCTATTATTTATGTATTTTCCTATATTATTACTATATACTCCCTATAAATAGTAATTTCCATTATTATGTATTTACCTATATTATTATCTCTACCTATCTATTGACTATGCCGGGAATTGAACCCGGGACCTCCGCGTGGAAGTCGCGCACCTTAACCACTACCCTATCGGCTACCCCCACTAATAATATTATTAGGACTGCACTGTTGTTACCGCGGTTCATTTTCTAATTAATTGGGTAATTAACACCAACGTGACGCGACGACACGCGAAAAAAGACGGTTGATTGTAGCCTTACGGTGGTGTAGTGGTTAAGATCGTAGCGTGTCACGCGGCGGACCCGGGTTCGATTCCCGGTAGGGTTAATGTAGCGTGTAAGAGAAAAATTGTAGGCAATAGGATATATATTAGATATAGGTTAGGTGTATTCGGTATACAATGTAGGGATTTGAGTGTATATGATGAAATATAGCGTATGGTAGATATAAGGCGTGTAATATGGAATGCAACGTGTAGGTATACGTAAGGCTATAAAAATACACGAATAGGAACTTATGATGTAGGTGTTATTGTATAAGAAATACGAAAGTAACATAGATTTAATTTATAAATATTATGAACTTCCCGTAGGGTGAGTTATAGTAATCCGAACATTTTGGCATACCTTAGAAAAAAATGGATGTATGTGTATGTGTGTGTGTGTATTTAGACCTAGTTCTGAATTTTAGATCTTGTTCTAAATTTTAGATCTTGTTTTAAGTTTTCAAATATTGTTCTACATTTTTATTTTTTTATTTATTTATTTATTATACACTTCAATCAACTATATACAGTTTAAAATGGTAATGCAATGCAAAATCAACCTAACTAGTGGGGTGTATGGCATCGTGCCTTGAGGCAAATTGCTGGAACTTCCCGTACCGTAACGAAATGTTCGAGGAATACTGAATGTTTTCAAATAGATTATTATTAATATTGTAACGTTATCTAATATTTATAAGAATTATATAAACTGAATTGCAAAGTTGAAATTATTTGTAAAGTAAATTAGAACTATTGTCAGAATTAAAAATAACATCGGAATTATTTTCGATATACAAAAAAATTTTTTTTTGAAAAAAAAAGTTGAAACAAATTTTTTAAAATCTAATTTACACTTCTCCCAATCATTACTAATTGAATGTTTTTTAGATCATTCAAATCGGATGATTCGTTCTTTCAAAAACTCGATTTCTATTTTCTGCACACTTTGCTCTTTATCTTCTTAACGGCTGGACATGCCTTTGCCAAAAACTAATTAGCTCATCTCCCTATCAATAGGAATCGAATGTTTTTTGAACCATTCAAATCGGTTGATACGTGCGCCCGAAAACGTGACTGGAAATTTGTATCCATACATACATACACACAAATGTTCAGAAACCTTCAAAACGTTGAGAAATGTAAATATTTTCAATTTCGATTTTCGGCCCATTACAATAACTTACCCTACGGGAAGATAATAATCTTAAACTATGTTATTTATACAAACACATTTAAAACTTTTTAGATATTTTCTACATTTTAAATTATTAAGGTTGCTAATATTTTACACTGAATTGATAATCTATTTTTAAATAAAAAATGACTGTTAAACCAATTATATATAGTTGATAATTAAATATCGATTGACATTGAAATGAATAATTTATCTGACATCATAATTGTTTTTTACACTATGACACGCATTGCCTGCTGGTTAAAGCCCTTTCATATACATATATTGATTTTTAATTATGATAATTGGTATTGTATACGTCACTTTATGGAAATAATAAACCCTTCGTGTCAAATATAAAAAAACTATGAAAAATCACGCATAGGAAAGGGTTTCTGCGGAACTCATTTACATAGAGATCTTACATCTCATACATTTGGATTTGTTATTTTATTTATGAGATCAACTCAAGTCATCAATTAAAATTTTATATTAATAAATTCAACTTTTTTAAAAATAATTTATAAGACAATTAGACCGACGTAATAAACTTCCCACATTTCTTTGCTTCGAATGTACAATATCAATCGTTATTAATATGTAAAATGTACCTATAGGTATCTATTTTGGTTAAATACCATTTGTTCCAATCAAATCAAACTGAATCAAATATTTAGAAGTGATATTTTCACGCAATCAAACGTTAGTTGGGTATTTGTTCTAAGGTCCCAAGGTCGATATCGTGTTAAGGTTAAGGTAACATGATTTCCATGGAAAGCGAAACGCTAAGCGGCCGTTTTCTAATAAGATTTATTTATTCAAATTAGAACCGTTGCTGCCGAGAGAATACTTACACGCAACCTGAGGCTACGGCCACATGGTAGTAATAAAGTCAGTAAAAACAGTCCATGTTAAATATACTTTATTTGATTTTACTTATGAGTGTAAATATGTTTTATACAATTTAAAAATAAACTAGTTGGTATTTTGCCTTGAGGCAAGTTACATGAACTTCCCGAAATGTGTAAGTAATCGACTTCATCAATAAAAAATAAATTAATTTATGATTGTATAAAAGTATTCCGAATGGATTTATTACACATCATTGAAAACGAACGAACTCGGAGTATTTCCTAAAATTTGTCGTAAGGCCATAATATTTTAGTAAGTTCTATAAGACCATTATATATATCGCCAAAAAGAGTTCCATTAAAATCGGCTTAAATTTTTTATTCAGAAGTTAATTACAAGAAAGCGGCACGATAGATTTTTACCTAAAACTAATCAGTATCATTCCCAACCAACATGTTTCAAACAGGTTTTGATTTTTTAAAATCGATTCGGTAGTATGACGGTAGTATAAATGTGGACGGAAAGTTTAACACTTTTTTTCAAATTACAAAGAAACGGCTTGGCAGATCGTCGCACAAAACTGACAAACGATAGTTCTCATGGAAATACATCGGATGGCTTTTAAATTTTTGAAATTGATCCAGTCATTTTTAAAAAAACGTCGACAAAAGATCAAAAATCTGTTCACACACACATACGTTATCCTAATTTGGTCTCATTCTATTCAGAATGGCTTGCAACGTCGAGAAAACATAAAATTTGCGAATTTTTTGAGAAAAACTACTTCTTCAGGAAGTTAATTAAAAAAATTGTCGAATCATTTGAACTCAATAAGTAATATTAAGTCAATAAGTTCTTAAGGATAAAGTACATTAAAAAGACATCTTATAAATGTATTAATTTATTTTGGAAGTATCTAAAAGTCACAAAGATAAAGAACAACCATTGAGTTGCCTTCCAATGAAATTTAGTAATAGCAAATACATTACACAAAAACTCATAGACCACTTTGAATGTGTCTGATTACTGTCCTTAAAAAAAAATCTTCATTTCTATCAAAATTAATAATCTTATTTCGAAGTTTACGAAAATTCAAAATTAGATTATTCCGACGTTTCAATTACTAATTAGTTGCAATACTCTATAATTAACTTCCTATAGGGTAAATTATAGTAATCGCAGAAAAATCGAAAGAGGAAATTTTCATATGTATATCTTAACGTTTCAGAGGTTACTGAACATTTTGGCATCATATCTTAGAAAGAATGGATGTATGTGTGAATACGTGTGTGCTTGTGTGTGTATGTGTGTTCGGATACAAATTTTTGTTGATGAGTTTGGGCATATCGTCCTACACAATTAGTTATTTCTACTAAATTTTATAAGTAAAAACTGCTTTCTCAACTAAAAGCATTTAATAAGAGTTTTTTAATAAAATTAGTATATAATTCACAAAAATTCACATTCTTTTGAATTTCACCGCTCGCGTGATCCTAGCCTAATTTCTTGATCAAATTAGGTTAAAGTGTATTGGTCAATGAATTAAATATATTTTAGCGATTGAATTACTTTTAGGATTACACTCTTCAGAAAATGGTTGATCATTAGTTAATTCTTTTATTCGTGATTCGGAAGCTTCTTTGAATAGTCGAACATTTCATGAAAACAAAGCAAGTACTATAGGAAACATATCTCTTAAAATTATATACTTACAAATTTAATAATTTTCAACACTACAATAAATTTCAGTAAATTTACAAATATTTATTTTGTAAATTTATGATATATTTTGTAATGTAAAAGTTTCTTAACAAAAATACTTCTTTAATTATTTAAGTATGAGTGGTGATGTGACATAACATATGAGGCAAATATTTTTTTTTTAAATTTTATTTTCAATAGCAATCAGAATACAGGACAATTCTATGAATAAATTGAAGTAACCATAAATAAATAAAAAATGTTAAGTTTGTAAATTAAAATTCAATTAAAAACTGTAACTTAAAACCAAGTTTATAATAATAAACCTGCAAATGTTAAAAATAAATCAGTTATATGAACTTCCTACTCATAATAAGACTTTTATTGAAACGTCCTATATTTAATCTGTTATGATATTATAATTTAAAATACTAGCTATGGCATGCATTATATATATATATATATATATACAGTGGCGTCGGAACCGCGTGGGCTTGAGCCCACCCATGAATTTTGATGGGGGGGCTCAGCCCACCCATGAATTTCAAAAAATTATATGGGCTGATATCTCTAAAAAAAAAAAAAAACGTGACCACTGGCTGTCTACCTAAATAAAAAAAAACGAGCCCACCCATCAAAAATTTGGTTCCGACGCCACTGTATATATATTACTTTTATATTATCATTTATCTTTTTACCAGAGCTGGAAGTATAGACCTCTCCGAAATAGGAAGCGAGCCAGGAACGCCCGAAGACAATATCAATGTCGTAGTAAGGTAGTAATTTGAGGATATTAATACTTCATCAGCCTAATTTCATGAAAATATTTCCAATATTATTTTTTATTCCAGGGTGCGACCGCTTAACAAAAAGGAGATCGATGAAGGTCAAGAAATTGCTGTAGAGTTTCCTGGAAATGGACAACTGGTTGTGAGTTGAAACCTTTTATTATATAAATAATTTATTAATTCTTTAAAAAATGATAGTTATTAAGTTTGCTATTTTATACTATATCTACTCAAACTCTAAAATTTAGTATAATTATTTTTTATTAGTAGGTATCTTATCAAGGATGTTTTGTCTTATTGTTCTTATCATTCTTTCTCATAAAGTTGTAAATTGCATAAGTATGATTTTTACACATTTTGTTTAAGAAAACTCCTGCAGTTTTTATTTCCTGCAGGCTACTAATTTTGTTATTTTTTTGTATACTCAAAACCTAAACCTTAAACTTACGAGTATAAGATTATTTTTTACTAAAATAAAGCAAGTTCTACGCATGCAATAAAGAAATCTCTTAACGGATATTATGGGTAACCTACAGTTTTTTTTTACATATTTTTATATAGACAGTTGATTCAATATATAGCAAAGCATCAGGAAAATAGTAACAATTTACTGACATACTTTTATGATTTTTACATATTTTTTATTTTGCTTAGAACTTTCAACTCGAAAAACAACCCTAATTATTTGTCGGATTTCTGTTCAGGACAACAAATTTATATTATATTTTATTTATAAATTATAGTATAGGTATCCACATTAAAATTAACTATTTCTGAAGTGACATAGATAAATTACCAAAAATCGTACTAACATCGAAATCATACTAAATAAAATGTTTGAAAAACTGAATTAATATTATATAGCATCGAATTAATGTTTTTTATTATAACTTCTCAGTTTGATTTCACAAAAAATCCGATTTGCTAATTTATGTTTTTTGACGTTTATAGTCATTCTGAAGCGATAGACCAAATTTGAAAAAAGTATGTATGTATGTTCTCAATAATTTTGTATTTTTGGAATTAGCAAAAAAATGTTTTTTGTGAAAGTTTTCACTAAAATCTTTTTATCTCAAGTTTATGGATTTGTGCATTTTTTACAGAAATTAATTAATAATTTTCTAAATATGTAGAATTTTATTTCTGAATATTTTCTTTGTATCTGTGTCACCTAACGACCAGTCTACAAAACTTCTCTAGTTGTGTAAAAATGTTACAATTAATTTAAATGATTAAATTAAATCAAGGACTACATACATGATATATGTACATAATCGTGCCAGTATTTTCTTAAAACAGATGCTTAATATTTCACAAAATAATTTATTAAAATATTTAAAAAATTTGTTTTTAATAAAATTTAACATGACTATAAGGTTCATGCACCAAACGGTCCTACGAAAATTAGTTGAATTATATAAATTAATTAAAATGTGGACTTAATAAGCTACAATTTTAGTACATATGTAGAAGCACGTGTTTGTACACTATAATTAATATAATTACAGATATTATAAATGTGTTTGAGAGATAACAATTGGAAATCGCAATGTTTAAATTTAATTGAAAGCAAAAACCTTATTTTCGAAATGACCAGTTAAAAATTTGAGCTAAATCTCAATTTTGGTTTATTAAGTCAATTATTTCACATTCTGGGAAGTTTGTTCAACTTGCCTTAAAGCAATATGCCACTTACACCTAGTAAAGCATCTTTAAAAAGTGAGGTCTTAGTATATATAATGATTTGCAGAATTTTTTAAAAAGGTTAAAGCTTTTCTGAAAAAATGACAGTATCAGAAACGAAAAACTCATAATGTTTAGATTTAAATTGTTTATTTGCATAGTTTTATTGCCAGTGCGTATGAAAGCGAAAACTTTATTTTCGAAATAAGTAGTATAAATTTTAGCTAAATTTTAATTTTGGTTGATTAAGTCAATTATCACTCACTTGTCTTAAGGCAAAATGCCAAATATACATAGTACAGAATCTTGATAATGTGAGGTCCTGTATATCTAATGATTTTGCAGATTTTTTTTTAAGTTTAAAAGCATACATTCAAAAATAATTTTAGATAGTTTATTTCTTAACTTCCCGATGGAGAAATTTGTTTTCGCCAAAAGAATCCAATTTGCTAATTGAATCGAATGAGACCAAATTTGGAAAAAGTGAGTGTGTGTATTTTTCAATTTTCTGCAAACAAGAGCAGTATCAGAGACGAAAAAAATATAATTTTTAAATATAGCTTGATCTGGATTTCTGAAACGGCTGTGACAATCAATAGGTTAAAGGAATGTAATTCTTTATAATTTTATTACATTAAGAAATATATCGTTTATTTCTGTTATTCTCCAGTGTGCGGCGATTCCCGGAGGACCGGCGGGCGGCGCCCAGAAGCCCCGTCTCTTCTCCTATAACGCGGTTTTCGAACCAGGAGCAACTCAGAGCGATGTTCTGGAATACAGCGGAATCAAGAGACTACTAGAGATGGCCGTCCAGGGATTCAGTTGCACCTGCTTCTGCTACGGACAGACTGGTAGCGGGAAAACGCATACGCTGACTGGACCGCCTGGACTGGTTAGGAATTTGTTTTATTAATTTATTATACCTGAAATGTTGTAGATTTTTGTAAATATTTTGAAGAGCTTATTCTATTCACTCTTAATCACGTCTTTGTATAGGGTTCGTAACTAGGGTTTGTCGGTTTTCAAAAACCGGTTTTCTGACGAAAATTATGAAATTCGAAAACCGTTTTTTTAGCGGAAAAAATCGGTTGTTACTGTATAAATGGAAAATGATAAATATACTATATGGAAGCAAGCGTTTTAACACTTGGAATCATATCAGTTCGATAAAATTTTGAATCATATTAGTCTATTCTAGTTCCCAGAAAGGTTCTGTGTTATCTTTTGTCTGATGTATATATTAATTGAGATCAATGCGACTTCTTGTTCAAGGAGTGAATTGCTCTACTCAAATTTAAAAAAAAAATAGTTTTTAGCCCTAGAAGTCACAAATAAAAGAACAAAATTTCCAGAGTTATTATATCACACATTAGTTCGGTTGCAAGTGAGAAAGTATTTTCTATTTAGGAAAATTTGTGAGTATGCAAAGTTTTTTGAAATCACATTTTATTAAACAAGAAAACATCTAGAATGTTTAGAATTAATTAATTGAAATTGCTTGGAACAGGCAATACCCGAGTTTAGCTTAATTAATTGTTTTTAAAACTAAAATTGATATTAACAAGTATGTATCAACATGTATCTAATTTTTTTAAATTAATAAATCCTTTATTTTTATTTATTCGAAAACTTTCCTTCAACTATCATAAAAGTATTTTCCTTCATTATATGAAAAAATAATGCAGGAATAACAAATAATTATTTTCAAAGTTATTAAATCAAGATTAAAATAATTTTGTTTACTTCCATATAAATGAACATTAAATCAATTCAGTCAAATACTGCTCTAAATTACACTAAATTTACGGATAAATTACAGAATATTCGAGCAACCGGTTTTTTTTAGTAAAATTAAAATTCTAAAACCGGTTTTCTGAAATTTTTCGGTTTTTGTATAAACCCTAGTAGATAGGTAGAACATCAGTAAAAAATATACTCTCTAGAAAACTATGATTCTTAAGGACAAAATATGATCCCAAGGCTACATAGTTCAAAATATTTAATAACACATAACACTAAGAAATAACTAATAACATTGAATAATATTAAATATTAAAATTTTAAAATATTTTCACAGAAACTTGTAAAAAATATATCAATTCTTATAATTTATGCCAAAATATACTATAAATTTAAAGGTTTAAAGAAAAATTCTTTGATAATATTTAAATTTGATTTTTATAGAAAATTATTTTATAATTATAGTTAGATTTTCCATAAAAATATGCTCTTATAAAAAAAAGCTCTTCAAAATATTTGAGTGATTTGAGTGATTAGTTATGATGTGGTTTGAAACAATAGTTATGAAATGTTCTTGTATTAGCATGGAGATAATCTCCAACTTTTGCAGAAAATATGTGTAGATTTGTAGAAATTTTGTTTTCTCTTAACTATTTCTATCTCTTTTTGTGTTTTTTGTGGATTTTTATGTATGGTTACATTTTACTATATTTTGTATACTTGAGTGTTTGAAGTGATATCTATTGGCATTTATAAACTATTTAGTAGAAATTTTCATTGCAAAAAGCTTGGTTATAAATAATAAATATCGGGAATATACATACGACATTATTTTAAAACATATTTTGAAACTATTAATTATTATTTCTTTAATTAAAGCGATTTACCAAAATATCATTGCTTTTTAATATAACCAGGCTTTTAGCAATTTTTAATCTCTTATATCTTCATGTATATATTTCTATCTAGATTCTACATTAGTGCCTGGGTTTGAACTTTTCTTGATCAAATTTATTTGCTTTAATTTCTCTAGTTTGTAAAACAGATAGATCCCACATCCGAAGATCATGGCTTAGTGTTTCGATCCTTCGTTTATCTCTTCAAATTGATCAAGGAGCAAAATGATTCGAGCTTTGTTCTACGGGCATCATTTTTGGAGATATATAATGAAAAGGTAAAATATAATTTTTAAACAAACTTTTTGTAAGATTAAGTACATTAATCAAAATGTGTATAATTTTTTTTTAGGTGATAGATTTGCTTAATCCTGGAAATTCGCGTAAACCGTTAGCCGTGCGTTGGTCGAAGAAAACTCGAGGATTCTTTGTGGAAAATTTATTTACTGTAGAGTGTGAGGAACTTGATGATCTTTTGGCAGTTTTGGAAGAAGGTGAAGAACCAAAATTAGAACTTGCATTTGAAATAAAACAAAAGTTGAAGTTGTTAAATTTGTCTGGTACAAAGTTAAACTTTGACTTAGGCTAAGCATAGAAATTCTTCTTGCTTATACTTTATCATTTATCTATTTTTTATCCAAAAAGGTATGAGGCATAGATCAGTGGGTTCCCATAGAATGAATGCAACATCATCTAGATCTCACAGTGTACTGACAGTACACATATTATCAGAACAGGCTGCCGAAAATGGTGTCTTTATCTCAAAACATGGAAAAGTGCATTTTGTAGACTTGGCAGGCAGTGAAGTAACAAAAAAGACTCATAGTGAAGGAAAAACTCTGGAAGAAGCTAATAATATCAATAAAAGTCTTATGGTGTTGGGTGAGTAAAATATTAGAAATCAGTCTGTGTATTAATTTAGGGGTCGTCCATTCATCACATGAGGTTTGAAAATAAGTGAAAGGGTTTGTCTAAAAATCACAAAATTTCATGTTGGTGAGGAGGTGGTTTGGTAAGATATTTGGTAAATTTATTTTTTACTTGAATTTTAAAAAAATGCAAAATTCAAAAAAAGTCCAAACACTCAACATCTTTTCTAGGTACTAAAAAAACACGTAATATTAAGTGAGGAATGGGGAATAATTTTAAATTTTTGAGTAGTTCAAAAATCCTTAAACGTTGATCACGTGATTAATGGATGCCCTTTCAATGACAGGGTGCATTGTACTATACTATAATTATTTTACTGGATTTCATGAGAAATGCAATAAAATATTTATGAAATTATAGATCGCCTCCCAAAATAAATCTATATGTTGGAAGATTTCAGACAGATAATTTTCATATCAGTCAATTTCACCAACCTGGCAAGACTTACATAAGTACTGATATATTTTTATAGCTACTTATGTGTATATATATGCGTGTGTGTGTGTGTGTTTGAGTTAATGTGTGTGTAAAACATGCGTTTGCAACAAGTAGTACGCGTGCGTAATTTGTATTTTTATAACTTTTGTTCATTCTGTTTTAAATTCAATATTTTTATTCCTTTCATTTCAATTCATATATATATATATATATATATATATATATATATTTATCTTGTTTGTTTCTCAATGGAGAAAGCTTTGGACTTGCGACAAAAAAGTTTGAGGTTCAATTTTCATTTTAGATAACCTGATGTAGTGATATACGTTTTTATTTGAAAATATGATTTTTGCAATAATTTAAAAATAAGTTTGCAATTCTAAATAAATATATCACAATTACAAAAGAAAACATGGTTTTGATCCTTGTAAAAATATATATTTAATATTGAAGTTTCTAGATAGTGCGATATTTACTGACATAGTTTGACTCTTGAAACAAATTTTCGATAAAATGAAATAATTTTATATTTTAATTCAATTTGTTTATTTCATATCACAAAAAATATATTTCCTAACTGAATATGTTTTCGACGTTTCAAATCATTCCGAGTCCAAATTTGGGAAAAGCATATGCAATCGATCTTTTTTTTTATTTACTGAGCATTATATACATTTCCATATCTTAGTCAGACAGGAGTGTTTATGGATAAGTTTATACATTTATACATAGTCTATATATATATTTACTTATTTCATATTACTTTATTTTAAAATATTTGATCTATATAAGAAATTAAGTATAAGAGTCATACATTTAATTAATTAGGTTAATCTTGTGTATATTTGGTATAATTTCTTTTCTTTTTTTTAAATGATTTGAACGATTTGAAAATTAAAGTTATTTTATATAACTCGATAAGGACTTATGATGATTAGTTTTACGAGATAATCGGCCGAGCAGTTTTTTTTTACAAATTGCAGAAAAATGCCCAAACTTTTTTGAAAACTTTATTCGAAACAATCAGTTGGTGGTCTTGCTAATTAGCTTTTGTGAAAAAAATATGTTGATAGAGTTTAGGGTAGGTCTTGACAACCATCCTATATTCGATTTGTTAATTATATGTTATCTCGGTGTTTCAAGTCATTCTGAATCGATTGAGCCTTAAGACAAAATGCCACTTACAACTATTTTTATTATTATGATAACAAAAAATCTGTAGTTCCTGCACAGGTTGCCCGCACATCACGCATTCTTTTTCCTAAATAATATATGAATTTCTCAGACGTCTTCAAGACGGACGGACGGACAGCTCTAAATTGACCTAATTATATATACATGAAAAGCTGAACTTAAATTTCACCTACTTGCTTACGATTGTTGCTGTAACACTAACTATAGCTTACATTACGTGTCCGGCATTGAATATTAAATTTTGATTGAAAACCACGCAGTTCGGCAAATAGGAAAAATCAAGGTCGGTTAATAAAAGGAAATACGTAAGAATTAGAGGCAGAGAAGCGATTTCTTGGAATTCGAAGAAATTTTAGTCGATATTGTGAGATAGTGGAAACATATTATAGTTGTTTTGTTCGAAATTTGTTTAAAAAATTTAATATCGAGCCTTCATTTTAGGGTAAGTTATGTTTTTAACTTTTCGTGGAGATGTTACAGTAATCGCAAAAAAATCGAGAAAATGAAATTTTTTATATATCTTTACAAAGACTTTTAACCATTGTGGCATTATTTAGAAAAAATCGATGTATGTGTATTTGTATGTATGACGTACTAATTATTTTCGGCAAAGGCAGGTTCAGCTGTTTTGAAGATACGGGACAAAAAGTGCAAAAAATTGTAATTGAGAGAACGGGACGTCCGATTTTAATTATTCAAATAACATTTTACTTCTATTGACAAAATGAAGAACTTTATGGTTATAATTTTGGGAAGGCAGGTCTAGCGGTTTCAGACATTCAATAAAAAAGTGAAAAAATATGTCATTTGGCAGTAAAAAATGATGATTAGACATATGTACATCAAATTATCAGATTAAAAAAAAAATCGAATTTTGTTTATACTTCTAGGGGTTTCTTACCAAGATTTATAATGTTTAAATGTTATCATATACAAATCTTTCCAGTCTCTAAAACAGATGTCCTGCGCGATTGCTTTGAAATAAATCTAAATTTTCAAAAAAAATTAAATACAAAGAAATCAAATTTTTCAAGATAGTCAATTTTTAAAAAAAAATCAAATTTTCAAAAATCTAATTATTTTGAAAATTTTAAATTACTGTACTGGAATTTCTAGCAGTTTGTTTCATAAATGGATTACAATATAGATCACTTGACCCAAAATTGTATCAGTACAGTGATATTACAATACTATTGTATTTAATTATATCAAAGAAAGAAAAGTATGATCTACATTCAATATCTAACAATGTCGTCTTTTATGTTTAATACATCTAATTAGATGCTTGAGAAATAATGCGTCTAGAAATAGATAACGAAAATCTTTTCATAATTTATTCATACAGCCTTTCATGATATTTCGAAGAAAACGGCTGTCTGTTAAATAACCCGAAAATTATAATTGGCATTTTAGTAATGAATAAGTATATGCAGGCACACACATATGTACAAACATTATAAATATATTATATTTTATATTATATACAGAGGCTAGGTCGAGGCACAAAGGTTGAATTTGACTTTTAGTAACTATACTGTGAAAATCAAATAATCTGCATCGCAACAAATAATATGTATCAAACAAATAACTATCGAACTATGTTCGGTAAAATGTTCAGCTATTTACAATGCGAATCGAATATTCTTTGAATTATTCAAATCGGTTGATCCGCGTTCCCGAAATCGTGGATGAAAATTTGTGTCAACCTTTGCATACATTCAATATACGCACACATACATACATACATTTTTTTCAAAGAAATGCGAAATTGTTCAGAAATTTTTGAAACGTGAAGATATTTAAAAAATTTCATTGTCGAATTTTTGCGAGAACTATAATTTACCAAACAAAATGTTAATAATTGACGTGTATGCTAGAACATCCATCGTACGCAATAATTAAAATATGATAATCTGACTACCCTTATAAACGGTGTTTAATGAAATTTTGGATATCACTACCAATTTCAAAATAAAATGGCTGCAAATTTTTGTACCTTGCCGAATCTTTTACTATCCGCAAACGTGTTTAGATTAAGATATACGATAGCGAACACATATCACATAGCTTTGATTATTAAAATAATATATATTTAGCTTTAATATTTTTTTTAAATTTCAGGATACTGTATATCATCTTTAAGTGATCCCAAAAGACGTCATGGACACATTCCATATAGAGACAGCAAGTTGACCAAATTACTGGCTGACAGTTTGGCTGGAAATGGGGTAACTTTAATGGTGAGAAAAGACTTTTAAATAATATAAAGTCTTAAGAGAAATATCTTAAAGAATTTTAAATTTTCATAAAACATAAGCAAATCAACACATTTTAGAGTTGAATTTTTTTTTACATTTTTTAGAAAAATGTATTTTTCTAGTTATTTTCAATTCGATATAATTGTGCTTAAACGTAGCATTATATTTTCACTATATAAACATGTCTCTGTTCCTCTGTATACTTTTTTACTTTAATTTTTGTTTACCTGTATACCCTTCTACCTGTACAGATATATCCCTGATTACATTTTTACCTGATTACCTGTCTACTTGTTTACCTGTTCCCCCGTCTACCTGTGTACTTATTTACCAGGTAATCAGTTTATTAGTCTATTTTTCTGCTTTTTTAATTTGATTACCTGTTTTCTTGTATAATTGTCTAGCTGCCTACCTGTCTATCTGTCTACAAGTTATAACTCCAACCTCTTTACCCGGCCACTTTTCTACCTATTTAGTTGTCTGTCTACCTGTATATATGTAATTATTTGCCCAAAATCATGAACAAAAATTTGGATCTACACATAACTTACCACATATTTATAATAAATAATATTTTTTTCAGATTGCTTGTATTTCTCCGGCTAGTTCAAATTTGTTCGAAACTATTAACACACTCCGTTACGCTGCAAGAGCCAAGAGGATCAGGACAAAACCCATCGTGGTTATGGTAAATATATGAAAGAAACAATTTCTTGAAAATTAATATATATATATATATATATATATATATATATATACTTTGCATTACTAATTAATTGATATAAAATTTAAACAATTAGTTAACATTTATTATATTCATATCGATGTATGAATAAGAAGGCGTAACGAAGCCTCAATTAAAAGCAGTAATTATCACAACAACGTTTTCATGAAACATTTTTCAATTATCCACATATAATATGTATCAATAAATGAATCTCACAAAAAAACGTCGGCATCTGTGAGTGAAATACAGATCGATGAAATACAATACAGTGACTGTGCTAAATTTAATTTGTTGGACGGAGAGAACCAACACCAGTTCATTCTTATGACGACATCTCATATATGCAAAGTTAATGATCTGTTTTTCTACGAAAAAAGCGTCACAACATAGTTTGTTTGTTCATTTAATCTGAAAAAATTAAGACTACAATTTATTAATGATACAGATATATTTATTTTATCTCACTTTTGTGTTTTTTAACCAATATTATATGTAGACACATATTCTTCAATATTTTTTTACAAAGAATAAAATTTTTCAAATGGGTTATTGTTGGCTCAATCGTTAGCCTGAAATAACACAAACACATATAAAATTTGGGATGTAGTTAGCTATGATTCTGTAATTTTTAACTTTGTAATGTAATTTGTAACTTCCCGAAATATTCGACTTAATCAATAAAAAATAAATTAATGTATGTGTTATTAAAAGTCCTCTGAGTGGATTTATTACACATAATTAAAAACGAACGAACACGTTAACTTGAAGTATTTTTTAAAAGCAAATTTTCAAAAATCAATAATTTTTATGAGTAAACTAGTTTCTGTAGAACTTTAATGGTTTAGTAAGTTCATTAAGACCAAGTACTCTATCGTTATACCAAGTAAATCGTCTATATTTAATTTTAACAAACGTCAAAAAAACTACTCATTTTTTCAAACTTTGATGAATTTTTAAAATTAAACCACTCAAACTAATCAATATCATTACCAACTAATATGTTTCGAACAGTTTTTGATTTTTTAAAATCGATTTGGTAATATGAGCTTAAATGTAGACGAAAAGTTTAACACTTTTTTTCAAATTACAAAGAAACAGCCGCTTTTGAGAAAACGTCGATTTACGGTAAAAAATCTGCTCACACTCACATACACACACACATACTTATTCCAAATTTGGTCTCATTCGATTCAGAATGGCTTGAAACGTCGAAAAAACAAAATTCGGATTTTCTTATAGCGATTCGGATTTTTTTATAAAAACATAAACTTCTTCATCGGGAAGTTAAATATGTTTATCAATAGAACATCAACGGTTTTTGTGACTCCATATATACTGCATTGATCGTTATATGACGTTTTAAGTCAATAATATTTAAACCGCCTAGTTGTTATTGTTTTAATTAAATATAACAGTAAAAATAAATAGTAGTTTGCCCGAAAGCAAATCCATGGTTTGCGAGCACCACAATTCAATGATTCTTTTTCCCTCCCTTGTTTATTTTTCCCATTACCATATTGTTTCTATTAATCACTTATTTATTCATTTTTAAGCATTTTCCAAATTTTACTTCAAATGGTAAATGATTAAATGAATTCAATTCATTCATTTTATTATTTATTTATTATTTATATATAATATATTTTTCAACAATGGTATTTTTCCATGTAACAGGATCCGCGCGAGGCGCTCATCGTCAGCCTGAAACGCGAGGTGAACGCACTGCAGGCCGAAAATGAACATCTCAGATCAGCCTTGAACCACAAAAATGAAATCATGGGCAGAAGGTGACTACCGACCGCTTACTCGTATAATATAATTATAGAATAACAAACTTTTAGACGTATTTTCAATTCATATCATGTTTATCATGACACAATGACGATGAGCTAAAAAGCGATGGAAACACATTTTTGCTCTGAAATATACGGAAGAAACGTTTATTAACTCTAGGTCAATTCGTATATACCTATCTCTACACTCTGCGGAACCAGTCAAATTGATGCAATGCGTATTTTCTTCAAAATTATCTATTAATATATACTCAGGTTGAGTTGAACAAAAAAGTAAAATGTAAAAATTGTCAACATGTTATGAAAAAATTAGCAAACATCAAACCTACACAGTAACCCTATTTTTCTCACATATTTTTTTACATATTGTTTGGATGTCTTATGCATTTTTCTCGTGGGATTTTATTATAATAAATGCAAAAATTATAGCCTCTATTTTTATTAAACGTTTTGGCAACGTTTTCAAAATGCAAATATGAAACATGGAGTTTCGAGTGAAGTAATGATCTTTTTTGTTAGCGATTTAATTATATACGAAATAACTTTTTTTATTTGCTTTTAAAAATTACAATCTGACGTTATAAAGAGGAAACAACATTCAGTATTTTAGATGCATAATTATATTAGGGAAGAAGGTCGAAAGGTTACCCAGTGGTAATCCGTTTCGTTGTTGATTGTATGAGGCTTATAGAAGTTAATTATTAATAGTACTGTTTTTTTTAATTTATTTATTTATATATATATACATTGTTTTCATATCTCAGACAGGCAGAGGTACCTGGTATGAGAGATTATGAAAACAGTTTTCATGCTGTATATATACATTTCATTTGACTATTTCATTAATATAATATCTATTATAATTAAAATATCTTTATATAACTCTTCAGTCTTCTTTGTCTTCAATTTCCTTATAATATTTCTTTATTGGTACTGTTGCAAACTCTATTATAGTAGTACTGTTTCAAAAATATACAAAATAACATGATGATCAAGTTTACGAGCTTGGACACCTCGTTACTATTACATTTACTATTTGAAGGCATAATATTACAAATGAAGCAAAAATTAATCATTATATGTGTAATCAACTACTCCATCAATTTGAGGGGTTTCTGTAGAAATGGGCAATACCGCAAATGAATTTCAAAATTTAGAATATTTATCAAATTTATAATTGAATATAGATAGGATTAGTGCTGTTTTTTTTTGAACAATTTATTTCAAAGTTCGTTTTCCGTCAAATTGATGGGTCTCGTAAACCTAGTGTTAATGAAGCTTTTCTGATATGCAAAAACAAAGAGATTTTAGGATTTTTAAATATTATTTTGTATTATCAGTTACAGTGTTCCGTAATACAATATGTCAATAATTACTGATCATTGTTGGCCGAGAAGCGTATTTTCTCGAAAAAATCTGACTTGATAATTTTCTGAATTTTTCTGAATTCGTTTCAAACCAAGTTTGAAAAAAAATCTGTGTTTATGTACGTGAGTCAATTTTTAACTTTTTGTTGTTTTTTCTTCAAACACACCCGAACCGATTTTAATAATTTAAAAGTCTTTCCAAGAAACTTTTTACGATGATCGGCCGAGCCAAATTCACTACACTTATTGTTAGCAAAAAAGTGCAATTTTTTTGACCAAGCAAATACCATTCTGATTCTTTGGAATCAATTTAAAATAATATATATATAATAACTTTAAAATTTGACACATTACAATGAAAATGAATGTTATAGCATTCAGGGCCGCAAAAGATCAAACGCGTTTATTGATGATGATATGTATGAAATAATGATCTCATATCGCTTCACAGAAGCAAGTCGCTCGCGCTAGTCAAAACTCGTATTTAAAGCAGTTTCATACAAGTCCTCGGTAGTATAGTGGTCAGTATCCCCGCCTGTCACGCGGGAGACCGGGGTTCGATTCCCCGCCGGGGAGGATATTTTTTTCTTTATAAATATTAAAATTTATCTATTTTTACTATAATATATCTTGCAATATTCTTTGTTACTGATTTAAGTGAAATTTCATTTAAAAATGAAGGTGTATTATACATTATTTTGTTCATAGAAATTCAAATTAATGCGAATATATGTGTTTACTTGTGACTTAAATCTCTACCAGCTAGGACAAAAAACTTTCTAACAAATTGCATTTTTGTAATTACTTATATATCTTCTTTAAAGATCTATTTTTTGTGATTTTGCTGTGTTTGGATTGAAAAATCTACTAACTTATTATAGAAAATATGACAATAATAATTTCACAATTTTGTGGTTATTTTTTTTGGATTTTGGATTAAAAAATCTATTTTTTTTTAGTTCACCTCTGTCCGCCGGTCCTCCTCCAGAATCACCAGATTTAGAACAACTATCTGCCTTAGATGGTGCAGAGTTGGCCCGTCTGGTTGGCCTCTACATGGCCGAAAACCATGCTTTACGTAAAGAAAATCAGGAACTGCATTCAACCAGGGAACAAATAGTGCGAGACCAGGAACTTGTTTGCAGGGAAAACGAGCGTTTGCTCAAAAAACTGGAGGATGTCAACACGTGAGATAACTATCAATTTTAAATATTTTTTTCAATTTTGATATGGTTTGATTTGAAGATACACGTTTAGATGTTTTGGATTATTTCAATGTGTGGCGTTTGCTTGTTGACGCTTTTTTAGCAACTGTGGCGTTTGCTTGTTGACGGTAACTTGATGGCAAAATTTGCTAATAAGTGAAACTAGATTTTAATATTTATATTTTAATACGTGTTCGATGAAAATATATTATGTATATATTAAAATAGAGTTATAGAATTTGTTAAATATGCGGATAATGAAATTAAAGTTTCAGAAAGTAATATAAAGTACCCATTTGAAGATTTGTAATAGAAGAACATAAGTTATAAAATATTTGTGAACGAATGTGAATAGCTGAAGTCTGAAATAGGATAGTAATTTTCAAAATTTAAATTACTGCAATACGACGTTTCAAGCCATTCTGAATCGAATAAGACCAAGTTTGGAAAAAGTATGTATTTGTGTGTATGTGCGTGTGAAAACGGCTGGACCGATTTCAAAAATTTAAAAGCCATTCGATCTATCTCGATGAGGACTATTGTTTGTCAGTTTTGTGCGACGATCGGTCAAATGGTTTCTTTATAAATCGCAGAAAAGTGAAAAAATTTTCGTCTACGTTTTAGCACGCAATTCTGAATCGATTTTGAAAATAAAAAACCGTTCGAAAGATATTGGTTGGGAATCGTGCTGATTAGTTTTTGGTAGAGATCGGCAAGGATGTTTTCTTGTAATAAGGTGTTGAAAAATTTTTTTCGACGATTTTTATTATTATTTTTTGACGGTAGAACCATAGTCTTCTAGATCATACTAAACTATTACGGTCCTACGACAACTCGTTTAGCTTTAAAAATTCGTCAAAGTTTGCGAAAATTAGTATTGTCTTTTTGGCATTTGTCAAAATTAGAACTTTCATCGACGTTTGCTCAAAAACGCTTGAACCGATTTCAGAAAATTAAAATCATTTGATTAATCTAATAAACCATTTGATGTATCTCGATGAGGATTATCGTTTCTCAGTTTTGTGCGACGATCGGCCGAGCCGTTTCTTTGTAATTTGGAAAAAAGTCCACAATTAATCTCATACTACCGAATCGATTTAATAAAATCAACAACTGTTCGAAAGATATTAGTTGGGAATGATACTGATTACTTTTAGGTGAAAATCTACCGAGCCGTTTTCTTATAATCAACTGTTAATTTTAGTACTTCTATTAATTAACTGTAAAAAAAATTAAGCCGATTTTCATGGAACTTTTTGTGTCGATATATATCATGGTCTTATAGAACTTACTATACTGATTATTACGGCCTTATGACAAGTAGTTTAATTTTAAAAACTCATCAAAGTTTGAGAAAATGAGTAGTTCTTTAGACATTTGTTAAAACTAAAATTAGACGGTTTACTTGGTATAACGATAGAGTACTTGGTCTTAATGAACATACTAAACAATTAAAGTCCTACAAAAAACTGGCTCAATTATAAAAGTTATTGATTCTTAAAATTTTGCTTTTAAAAAATACTCCCACCGGGTTGACGTGATCGATTTTCAATAAGGTGTAATAAATCCACTTCGAATACTTTTAACTACTCATAAATTAATTTATCTATCATGGATTAAGTTGATTATTTACACAAATCGGGCGGTTTATGTAACTTGCCTCAAGGCAAAATATCAATACTAGTTTAAATTTTGTCTCATTCGATTCAGAATGGCTTGAAACGTCGACAAAACATAAATTTAACAAATCGGATTTTTTGGCAAAAACAAATTTCTTCATCGAGAAGTTAATAAAATAAAATAAATAAACTTTATACACTACACTGTATAATAAATACTCCATTACAAGTTAATCTCCGTAACCAAGTATATACCGCAACTCTATCATCTCTGTCATGTGGTCCCATGGTGTAATGGTTAGCACTCAGGACTCTGAATCCTGCGATCCGAGTTCAAGTCTCGGTGGGACCTGTATTTTTTATATATTTTTTTCTCAATTTTGATAGCAAATGCTTCAAATTGTACATATTGTTGTTTATTATTTAAAAACTTGTACATATTGATTATTTTTTGCGACATAATCCATTATTTCAGCGTTTGCTGCAGATCGCCGATAATACAAGCCCGGTCCACATATTCGGCGGAAATTTTGAATAACGGCTCGGCTCACGAAGACACGTCTGAGGTAAGGAGATTGATACGGTAATAGGTTTTTTGTATTTGGGGAAAATAATTAATAATTATACTAAAAGACTAAAGAACTAAAATTTAATGTTATCGACTCAGAAACATTCCAAGACATGTTGATAACTTTTATACCAGTTAACTGTGATTAACGAATATACACGTCATGACAAGGTGGCAGAAATTTATGTTTTGACGTGTATACACGTCATGCGTATAAAATACTGACGATTTGATATTTAAATTGGATTTTTGAAAAAAAAATGCATTTTGAAATGTCAAGCTGTTTAGAATATTCTGGGCAATGGGCATATATGATTAAATGATTCTGGGGCTATTTAGCTCGTATGTCGAAGAAACGAATTGCTAAACACTCGTACGTCGGGGTGCTAGCTACCCCGATAATAATTTTTCAATTTTGTAAAGTTTACTCATATTTTTCATCCGATGTTTTAGCAGGGCAACATACCCTGTGATTTTTTTGATTTTTTTTATAAGAATCATAACATTAGTTATATTTTATGAGCTATTTATTCGGTTGACATTAATGAAATATAATTATAGATAGCAGTTGTCCCAGTGAGTATGTACTATTTGATGCAATTTTACTAGATCAAGTTAATTTTTTTTATTCTCTATTTTATTTACAACTGTCCAGATAATAATTGGCTTTTTTCTAATCTTTTCGATTCGGGTGATTTTCTAGTTTTAAAATTTACAAATATACTCCTCATGAACTCGATTGAAAACTGTGCGATGTGAGCGCCACAGTTAACTGGTTAAATGTTACTATCATTTATTTTTTGAATGTTTTAAATAAATTGCAAAAAACCTATTCAAATAAACATCCAGAGAGACGTGTTATTAATAATGTAGCTTTGTTGTACAAATTACACCAGGACAATCTTTTGAATGGAAGGGTATCAGTGAAACCAGAAATTCTCTCCAGGATTGATTTTAAGCCTATCGATAGACCTGCAACAGGGTTAGTAATCAAAATTAAAACTTATTAAGACGGAAAAATTTATATTTTATTGCACTATTTGATATGCAAATATATTTTTTAGTCATTGCCTATAGATAAATTTCTATTTAGTAGAAAGGGTGAAAGGGTGCTTATGCGAATTGCCAATTTATATCATTTTAAATTTACTTAAATGCATTTTTAATATAATTATTATTTATATTTTCAGACAGTGCATTTATTAAAGTTACTTACCTTGCAAAATCTCACAAATTTTCTTAACTTTTTTATTAACACACTAGAACACTAGTAGTGTAATGTATTGCACATTTGCATGATTTTAAATAAATGTCTATATTATTTGGTTTGAAAATTTTATATTTTTGTATATTTTATAACATCATCATGAAAAAGGTAAGAAATATATCTTTCACATATTATTGTAGAATACTCACAAATAGTTTAAATCTATGAAACTACTATTTATAATTGTATATATGAATACTTATATGTGCAATATAAATGTGCTTAATTAGTGTTCACATGTTTTATAATTAGACAGATTTATTAAAAAAAAATATTAATAGACTACAATCTAGTGAGATTTAGAAATTTTCTATATTTTACACATCAAGAGGTGAGCAATATTTTAGTTTAGAAAAATTAAATAAATACGTTATTATTTTTATGTTTTAACATTTATAATTTTTTTAACACGTTGTCTGCTATGGCTTTAAAAATCTGGTCAAAAATGGTAATTGTTTAATCACATATGATTAAACACTCTATTCCTAGTGCATAGTTTTTCTCAAAATTTAAAATCCCAATCTGCGAATTATTCTGTAGTTGGCAGTCAATGTGTTAATTATTATGAGATATATTACAATGAGATTTTTTTGACAAATTTTATAAAAATGGTAACGTATTGAATCAATAATAAATTTAAAATTTATAAACACAAAATTTTAATAGAAATTGTGCTTACTGTATGTATATCGATGTTTAAATTTAATTGTTCATGCACGTTGTTTTAAATAAACTATTATGCAAATAACCATAAATATCTTTTTTAATTATGATTTAATTTTAATTTATAATCATTTTTATTAAAATTAATTTTTATATTTCCAGACCGTCTCAACCAGTTGAGAAAAATGGTGCAAGGAGAGATTCTTGGAAAAGTTTATCTCATAACAGTCTTCTAGAGTGAGTATTGCAAATTAATGTTTGAATAGTTAGTTTATGAGTGATTTTGTTTAAAAATAACCAGAATTGAATAGTGCAAAACTATTATAAATTGAAAATGGTAAAATTCATATTTTTGCAGCCAATAATGAATTGAAAAACACAACTTTTGAGTAAAAATCAAAATATAAAGGTAATTCAAAATAAAATGAAAAAATGCTAGTTTGATGCAAAAAGTCAAATTTCATATTTATGGGGCAAATTATGTAAATCCAAATGCAGAATTAGATAAATGATTTCGTCGTTTTAGATTATAATTCTGAGATATTTTTTCTGAGAGAAAAGCAAATATATATTAATCGACACGAGCGTCGTCTATAGACGACATCCACTTGGCGACCGGTGTGTATATATGACTGAGAAGTTAAGAAAAGCGTTCGAATTGTATAAATCAAAACGTTGTTTTAGATTATTTACAATGATTCTGAGAGTGTTTTAAGCAAATATATTAACAAGTTTGATTTGAGCGTCGTCTATAGGCGACATCCGCATGACAACCTGTGTGTACGAGTGTCATCTATAGACGACATGATAAAATTTCTTCTAGTTCTTCAGACTAATCACAAGAATTCTGAGCGTCGCCTATGGACGATATCCGCATGACTACCTGTGTGTACGAGTGTCACTTATAGAAGACATTATAAAATTTCATATTTATGACTAAGAAGTGAATAAAAACGTTCAAATTGCACAACTCGAAACTTTGTTCTTCTTCTAGATTATTTACAAGAGCTCTGAGCGTCGGCTATAGACGACATCCGCGTGACTACTTACATTGTAAAATTTGAAATTTATGACTAAGAAGCGAATAAAAACGTTCAAATTGCATAACTCGAAAAATAAAATAAAATATTTTGTAAAATTTCATATTTATGACTAAGACGTGAGTAAAAACTTTATTCTAGACTATATACAAGAATTCTGAACGTCGTGTACGAGTGTCGCCTATAGACGACATTCAGTAGGTCGACCATTGTTGTAATATTTATCACTCTGCGTTAAATTATTAAGAATTCTAATTAGTTATTGTAATATTTAATTTTTTAGAAGTGTAATTTTCAAATTTTAAAATATTAATAATGATAATGATTGAAAAATCTTGAAATATTTTGTGTCAATATTTGAGTAGCTTTCTGACTCGTACAGCAGTGTCATTTCTGCGGAATACACTCATTAATTCAATTCTGGTTATTTTATAGATGTACACCATTTATTTAGGAGATTTGGCGGGTTTGCAGTTTTTAATCTTTCACTTTTACTGAAAACGGTGCATATAACAGAACCAAACCTAGATGAATAATAAAAAACGGAACTTAAATAAATAAAAATTGGTGTTGGTATACGACATTAGTTTTCAATTATATCAAGAAGATTTATATTTACTCAAAAAATTATATTTCATTTGATTCATTGATTATTGAAAAAAAATTCTATCTGATCTACATTTGGTTTTGGTAAAGTGTTGCGACCCTGTTTAGTATCGATGTTTACATTAATAGTTCATCTAACATCTCCTAGCACAGATATTTTCCTCGAATTTCTAGTTGTTTTCAGCTATAGATGTGTTTGAATGCACCAGTGTTAATTATTTTTAGAAACACCGTTCAAGACATTTCGCCGTCGACATCGAATCCGAATTCAAATAACGCGCCAAACGAAAGCAACGCTAGTGTTACCCGTGCCGGTACACCCGTATCAAAATCACATATGGCAACCCAACCATCGACTTCCATAAACGAGAACGATTTAAAAAGTGGCGCGAAATCGAGAAATAAAAGCGCTATCGACGAAATCGATTTGTTCGGAAGTTTAGTATCGCTTCATGAAGATAATAATTGAAATTTGAATGTTTTTTATTTACGGTGAGAACACGAAATACTAGTTACCTATTGTGTGTCATTACGTATAATTGTGGAAGTCTTGTATGTAGTATTGATTTGTTTAGGTATTTGTTATTTTTATATATGGTGTTAACGTTTAAAATGATTTTTTATTAATTTTATTGGATAGATCCATAATATGTATTCAACGGCGACATATATTGAATTTGTTATTGGGTCATTTTGTGTGTAGATGTAGATGTTCTTATGCATGAGAAAATTTATCGCAATTATATTAATTGCACACTTGCTTTCATCACGCGATATTACAGAAACAAGTGCTTTAATAATATTTATTTTTATATTTTCTTATTGTAGACTATTAAATTTTTATGTTTTTTAACTTCCCGTTGGGTGAGTTATAGTAATCGCAAAAAATGCAATAATTGCATATTTTTACGTTTCAAAGGTTTCTGAACATTTTGACATACTTTAGAAAATATGGATGTGTGTACGCGTGTGTATGCGTGTTCGGATACAGATTTTTAGTCGATGATTTCGGGAACACCGATCAACCGATTTGAATAATTCAAAATACATTCGATTCCTATTGATAAGGAGACGTGCTGACTAGTTTTTGGCGAAGGCAGGTCCATCCGTTCCGAAAATACAGGGCAAAAAGTGCGCAAACGGTAACACAGTTTTTAAGAGAACGGAGCGTCCGATTTGAATAATTCAAAAAACATTTTACTTGTATTGACAAGATTACGAACCGATTAAATTTTTGGGAAGGCAGGTCTAGCGGTTTCAGAGATCTAACAAAAAAGTATAAAAAAGACATTTGGAGTTCAAAATGATCATTAGATATATGCACATCAAATTATCAGATATTTTATAGAGATTTTCATAATGTACACATTTTGTTATGTTTGACTGCGACGCGGCGCTTACGCGCTTTGATATTGTGTGTCCTAAAAAGCTGCACTTTAAAAAAAGCTCATAACTTCACAAAGAATCAAAATATAACAAAGAATCAAATTTTCATAAAAATTAATTTTTTCAAAAATTTATTTTTCTATTTTTTAAACAAATAGATTTATAAACCAATTTTGAAAGAAGCTCGTTTGAGGAGGAAGTTCCAGCAATTTGTCACAGCACGATTGTATGCACCATTTTTTTTGTCTGTTTGAGACAATAACAGTATGAATTTGTTATAATTATAATTATAATTTTATAATCAAAACTGGAATTTTTTTACGAATTTACAACTCATACTATTTAAAAATTTGTTGATATTTATAAGATATATTTGAAAATTAATAATAAGTAGCAGAGTAAAAATCTTTCCCAATATAATATATGTTGCAATGTAATTGTTTTAACTGTTCTTTTTGGTATAAAATATAATTGTTATTCTAATTAGAAATAAGTTGCATCATATCATTTTACAATCCTGATTTAATTGCCGAATTTCTATTGTACTTTTTATTAAAGCGGGTCCTTTCAATGTCGACAAATTTTGAAAATTTTAGCTAGACCCTAGTTTAATAAATAGTCCTAATTCTAGAAGACTTGAGGAAATTGTGTAATTATTTTTGACTGTAGTACTAGATGTTATTTACGGTTACGGTTCCAAAGTTTAAATAAAGAAAAATAACGAAAATTTACCACAGAAAAATAGTCACAATTTGACTAAAGCTCTTAGAGCGTATAAATTTTTTTCATCATAGATTCTTTCAATGCAATCACCCCTTCTCGGCTTGACGTTGAGTTCTGGGACACATTATATGTTATTTAAGGACAGTAGTTACATATTTTTATTAATCGATTTATTTGTTAATTTACCACTTTATTTGCTTACTAAAAATATATTGCACAAGCATTTTTCGCCATCTGCAAACTTCGGAAAACTAATAATCAATAAATGATTGAATTATTAATAACTTTGCTACATATGTGCTTATGAAAGTTTGTTTGTAGAATGTTTTCATATTATTGGATCGATGTGCTTCAATATTTTAGAAATTATTTATGAAATTGTGTTTACTTATATCTATATCTATTTTAAGTTTTCCTTTAATTTATAAAAAAATGATACCTTAATTATATCTTCTAACTATAAATAATTCTACTATCTATTTGTATTTATTGCTTCTTCACATATTTAGATGCAATTATTTTTTCATGGGTTAGAATTTATTTTAATATCTAGTATTTTAATTAATTAACTCATCAACTCAAAAAATAATATTTTTTAGCTTTTAATTAGAACAATTAAAGCAATTTGAATTAGTATTGTAAAGAAATTTAACAAACGAAACAAAAATATTTAAAATTATTTATATCCAAAACTTGATTTAATTTTTAATTTTTAAAAGACCTTCAAAGATAAAGACGATTGATTTTTAATAAAAAAAAATCTGGAGAAAAAAATTTAATTTATGTATATAAAAATAAAAAATAATGAAAATTACTAGTCTGTTTTGAGATTTTTTTTTATTTAATAATTTAATTTTTTTAATAATTTAATACATAACAGTAGAGTATTCAAGATCAATAAATTAAAATCTTGCTTCAGTATTTTACTATAATATTTTTTTTATTATATTTTTTTATATTTTGATATTTTTTGTTTCAGCATGATAACGTAAAGAGCAACATTCTAAAAAGTTGGCTATTAATTTTGCAATTTGGATTGTAGTAAGTAGAGAAAAGTATTAGTAAGTATAAATAAATTATATTTATAATATATTAGATAAATTTTCTGTAGCATAATTGTAAATATTGTAAATAATTGGGTTATTAATTTGTTTGTTTGTAGAATTGAAAATTTAGGATCTATGTACTCTTAATATAAAAAGAGGAGATACTTATTTATTATTTTCTGAAAGTTGTACAAATTATAATTAAAAGAGCGTTTTATTATATTCGTAATACTAATTGAAGGAACACAGGGACAACTCTTGATTTAAAAAAATATTTTATATATTATTTGCAATCCTTGGAAAATACTCATGCTTTTTATTTAGATTTTATCAATATTACAGTTTGATCAGTTCATGATCACCTTATTTTATTATTTTATTTAATAAATTCAAGATACAAACAAAAAATTTGCATATTTTAGTTTAATTTGGACAAACAAAATTTGGAAAATGATTTAATAATATTTATTATAAAGCATGGTTGCTAAAATAGTACAAAATAAATTACAAATTATATTTTAGATAATAGTTTAGCAAAATGTATTTCAATAATAAAGAGAGGTGAGAAAATTGTGTTCATTTTACTAAATAACGAATTTACAAAATATATTCTTTTGCAAGAGCATTTATTATGACAAACAATTCTATATATATATATATATATATATATATATATATATATATATATATCTAAATTATATCGCAATGTATACTCACACGATGCATATTTCAAGAAAAATTCATAATAATAACAAAATTCAAGAATGCTAATATTATGTTTATAAGAGGCAATTTATCTTCAATAAATGATTAGGATAAACTATTGGAATGTTTAAATTAGAAAAATATTTTATATTTAAAATAATTTTGTTTTGAGATTTATGACATTACAAAATATTATAATAAAAGAAAGTTAGAATTTTATCTATTGAAATTAAATATAATTTACAAATTTTTATTTGCTTAGTTTAATAAATTTTACAAATAAAAATTACTATAGTAATTCTTGGAATATAAGAAAAAGACAGTAGTAAGTTTTTCTTTGATACTAATAACATGATAGATTTCTTTGATAATATTTTTTCTTTTAATTGATGTCAGCATAAAATAATAAATTTAAAATTGATTTTAATATTAACTAAATATATTGGAAATATATTTCCAATTATCTCTCTGATGTAAATGTTATATAGGTCATCTAGCAAAATTCTGAAAAATTTACATTTTTTTTAAATAAATTATTCGAAAAATATTTGACAGTTTTGCATAATGCATAAGGTTGCCAATAAATAAGGTTTTGATGAATATTTTACATGAATAAAAATGTATTTATGTTTACATAAATACTTTGCACCAAAAAATAATCAATTTATACAAAATCAAGAATATAAACTAAATAGTTTTTGCGTATAGATATAATTGTAAATTGATGTTTACTGTTTTTTACATTTTGTATCATAATTTATTATTTCATTAGTTCGTTGTAAAGAGAAAATTAGAAAATATTACTAGGAATGATATTTGTAAATTGCGCAAAACATTCGTAATTCGCGCGCTAACAATTAAATCATATATTGTGGAAATTTAGAAAAATTAATCTTTTTTTTTTAATATATGTTTCAAAAAGTATTTGACAGGTTGCATAATGTTTAGATATGGTTTTGATTAATATTTTATACAAATAAAAATTACTTAGCATCAAAAAATAAATCAAATTATGTGTTATACAAAATCAAAAATATAAATTAAATAGTTATTGCGATAGAATTGTCAATTCATGATTAGTGTTTTTCACATTACGTAGTACTATTTAACAAGTTTGTTGTAACTAGCAATTCTAATATTACTAGAAATGATATTTTCAAATTGCGCAAAATATTCGTAATTCGCGCGCTAACTATTAAATCATATACAGTAGGCCCTCGCTTTACACGGCACTCTGGATACACGGTTCCCATACTACACGGAGCTAAAAATCCGACATCCCTCCGACTACACGGACTTCTTATTACACGGTATTTGGTCAACAGCCCATAAGTTCGTTGTGCAAAAGGGTATTGATGTAAATTTTGTTATCGACTTTTATCTTTTAGACATGCCTGATTGTATAATAGCCGCCTAAGAACACGTTTGAGCTGACTACTGCGTCGCGCCAATTTTTGAATAAGGTGTCAATGTCCTACATGTCATTTCGTCCGTGTTTCTCCTACTTCAAGTTGTATTTCTTGGTCTCCATACAACGCGATAAAAATGGTGCGATTTGTACCAACTCTGAGTCTCTCATAGCACGGTTCCCATACTGCACTATGTAAGGTTCCATAGAACTCTATACGAATTAGCCTGAATTGTATGTTAAATACGAGTTTCTTATAGCACGGTTCCTATACTGCACGGTACGCACTTGCCGCGTAAAGCGAGGGTTTACTGTATTGTGGAACTATAGAAAAATTAATCTTTTTTTTTAATATATCCTTCAAAAAATATTTGACAGGTTGCATAATGTTTATATAAGGTTTTGATTAATATTTTATACAAACAGAAATTACTTTGCACCAAAAAATAAATTAAATTATACGTTATACAAAATCAAAAATATAAATTAAATAGTTGTAATAGATTGGTGTTTCTTTACATTCTGTAGTATTAGTTAATATTTTACGAGATAGACATAGAGAAAAATATTGCAAATATTACTAGAAATGATATATTCAAATTGCGCAAAATATTCGTATTTCGCGCGCAAACGCTTGACAGTTTATGAGCGCCAGTTAGCGCTCTACAAAAATTGAGCGTGCACGCGATTGGTTCTTGAATACCGTAAGAAAGAGATAGCGAATAGCCGAGCTTCCCCGTCCACGGTCTTTCTGCCGCGGAGTCTGCGCTTTGGTGACTTTAGCTTCAAATTTTTTTCTAGTGCAAAATTAATTTTATTTAAAGTTTCGTTGAAGCCGGACCGAAAATAAGCGAGTCAGTGGAAATTGTGAATTATTTCGTTTTTTTTGGTGCCTGATGTCGAGTACTGGAGTGGGCAATAATTCCGTTGACCCCCCGTGTAAGAAGCGTAAGCTTGAGACCGGTGACTCGGACAGTGTTTTCTCCAACATGTCGAACAATGGATTGTCCTCCGACGCTCCTGCAGAAATCGACGAGAGCCTTTATTCGAGGCAGCTTTACGTCCTGGGGCACGATGCCATGCGACGTATGGCCACCTCGGATGTGTTGATTAGTGGATTAAATGGACTCGGTGTCGAAGTGGCCAAAAATGTCATCTTGAGTGGCGTCAAATCAGTGACATTACATGACGATGCAGTTTGTTCAGTGGCCGATTTGTCTTCGCAGTTTTATTTGACGGAAAACGATATCGGAAAAAAACGTGGCGAGGCTTGTCATCGGCGTTTGGCGGAGCTCAATAATTACGTTTCTACGAAATTGCACACGGGGCCGCTTACCGAAGAAGTCATTAAACAGGTAAATTGTATTTACTTTGTTGTATTGCTAATCGTAGATAGCAGTTGCTAAGGTGAATCATCTTTACGTCATTGGTAACTGAATTTCGAAAAGAAATTATAGATCAACTCAGTTAGGGATATTTTCTTCAGTAATTTTGCATTGCTTTATAATTGGCTAATGAACCTCGCCATAATTACTATGGTAGCTCCTATTTTCTTACACCATTGTCATATAGGTTATAATTTTCATATCTATAAACAAATTGCTCAAACCAACATTCATAACAATAAATTGCACTTTATTTGCAAGATCACTATTAAATTTTTTTGTAATAACTTATCTTGGATTGTAATTACTATCATGATCTATAAAAATAACTTTTAAAACATATAAATCATGTCCATATATATAAATATGGAGATTTAGGTTATCATAGATTTAAAATTTAACAAATTTCAGATTTACAGGGATTTACAATATTAAATTAACTCCAGAATCTTTAAAAGCTACAAACAAAATCGAAATACAAATACAATAAATAAGACTGGATAATATGTCTTCTTATTTCCAGTCATTATAGTAAGTTCACCTCTGAATTCGAGATACCCAGCTGTAAGTCTGTAAACTCTTGTATATTGACACCCTAAAGTTGTCTCAAAACCTACATATGGTAGGGTGTCAATACTAAATGTAAGTTTTGCGACAACTTTAGGGTGTCAATATACAATTATTCACAGACTTACAACTGGATATCTCGAATTCCGAGATTCTTACCTAATTTAAGCTCAAATGACTGGACTATTCATAATACACTTTCAAAGCATCTTCAAATGATGAAGTCTTGTATGTAAATCAATTTGAATGAAGAAAATAATGTATAACTAAGATACTTGGATGTAACATCTATAGATCACAGACGGGATGTAACATTTCTACTTCTTGAAATCAAAATCTATATATTTAGAGGATTATAAAAACTATTGACTTTTTCAATTTAATTATAGACATTTTTTATAATGGTTTTACATAATTTTATCAATGAATAATGTACTTTTGCCATAAATAATATTTTCTTACATTGTGTCATGTAGGTTATAATTTCTCATATTTGCAAACAAATTGATTGAATAAGGTTTTGTATCACTTACAAATTGCATCTTTTATTTGAAAGGTAGTTTCATAATGTATATACATAATAGCCTAAATTAGATTTTCATAACTATTATAACTTTTTTTTGTATTGTAGCAATTTATGTAAAATATAATAACCCAACTTTTTTTACAAATACTTATCGCACGAGAAGGATAACTGAACATTGCCAAATCCTCAAATTTTAATACGATCAAAGTATATTGTGGAGCCTATCATAGTTTTTGCTTTTTATACACTTAGGCGGCAAGGTTTAAGAAAATCACACAAAAATTCTAGTTTTGCTACCTTTTCTTGTATCTGGTACAGAATAAACTTATTATTATATCTTGTTGAATTATGAGATCTTGGTCTAAGTGTAAATTGGGTAATTGTGCAAATTATTTCAAAACTTTATTTTGAAACCTTTGCTTTTACTATAATTTAACGAGATAACTTTTTAGCATACATATTCTTACATATAAACATGTAAATATATGACTTTATATATCTATATAATTTAATATAAAGATTTAATAGGATTTAGATTTACATGGTTTTACAAATCAAATCATGTTACAAATACAATAAAAAAGGTTTGGTAAATATCTCTTGATATTATAAGGCTTCATATTACACCTTAATTTTATAGTTTTTTAATAAACTATACGAATAACTTTGATTTCGTTTCCCTCGAAGTCTGAATTATATATTAAGAGATGTCATACATGCTATTAACTTTTATTGATTCACTCAAACAACGTGAATTTTATGCTTACTTGGTAAATGTAATAAATTGAAAAGTTGAATACCAAATCCATTAATTGAATTAAAAGTCAATGCAAATTCAAACGTTGGTCTTTTTTTGTTGCATTTTAGTGTAAATAAGACATGTTAGATAAATTTAAGTACTGAGAATTGATTTTTATACATAAAAGTGTAATAAGTAGTAATATGTTTGGAACAGTAAGAATGTTATTATGACAAAAAATATTTCTACAACTTGTTGGTGAGTTAGGAGAAAAACATGATTTTTCTTTTTCTTTTTTAAGCTTGAGTTTACAGATGATGAGAAAACCCGAACTGGAATGCCATGAGCAAAAATTGGAGTAATACAGTTAATTTAGAGTATTTATATATCATAAAATTTAATATCTTATTCAATTTTTCCATGTTTGTGATCATACCTTTAAAATTAGTATCTAATAATACAGTTTCTAATACCTTACCTATTACACAATTTTATTTACCTTTCAATTAATATTCCTTTATTATTTCAGTTCAGAGTAGTTGTACTATGTGGCCAACCATTATCAGAACAGTTGAGAATCTCGGCAATCGCCCATCCATTGGATATTGCTTTGATTGTGGGTGATACCAGAGGCCTTTTTGCTCAAGTATTCTGCGACTTGGGTGATAAATTTACTGTCGTTGACACTACTGGAGAACAACCAGTCAGTGCCATGATTGCTAACATCAGTCGTGATGAAGAAGCTTTGGTCACTTGCCTGGATGACACCAGACATGGTATGGAGGACGGAGATTATGTCAGGTTCACAGAGGTAAAAAAAAAGTTTAAAGAAGTTTTACTTCAATAATGTATTGTGTAACTGAAATTTTAATATTTTTTGCCCATAAATCTATTTTCTAATATGAATATATTTTTTATTTCCTAGGTACAAGGAATGACTGAATTAAATGACCGCGAGCCCATGAAAATTAAAGTTTTGGGCCCTTACACCTTCAGCATTGGCGACACCAGAAATATGTCAGAGTACACAAGAGGTGGTGTAGTGGTCCAAGTAAAAATGCCTAAAGTTTTATCATTCAAACCTTTGGAGGAAGCTATGAAAGAACCTAACTACGTTATAACTGATTTTGCAAAATTCGAACATCCTGCTCAATTGCATATTGCTTTTGAAACATTACACCGTTACATTGAGTTGAATGGAAATAGCCCTAAACCATGGTGCAGGGAAGACGCTGAGAACTTCTTGAAGATGGCTAAGGAAAGCAAATTAGCAGATGGTGTTGAAGTTGATGAAAAGCTTTTATCAATATTTGCTAAGGTAAATATATTTATATTATATTGTTTTTGTCAAATTTACTAATGATTTTGTTATTTTAGGTTTCCAGTGGTGATTTGAGCCCTATGAATGCTACTGTCGGTGGTATTGTTGCCCAAGAAGTTATGAAAGCTTGCTCAGGAAAGTTCAGTCCAATATTACAATACTTATACTTCGATGCAATTGAATGTTTACCAGAAGATTTGAGTGGTCTCACAGAAGAGGCTTGCAAACCAACTGGCTCTCGGTATGACAAACAAGTTGCAGTTTTTGGAAGAGATTTCCAAAAAACTATTGGAGCCCTCAAATATTTCATTGTTGGTAGGTTTTATTCCAACAGAAGTAATATATATTTTAGGAAATCATATTAATGAGTATGAATTTTAGGTGCTGGTGCTATTGGATGTGAATTGCTTAAAAATTTTGCTATGGTGGGAATTGGAGCTGATGGCGGTGAAGTCACTGTTACTGATATGGATCTTATTGAAAAATCCAATCTTAATAGACAGTTTTTGTTCCGTCCGTATGATGTGCAGTCTCCTAAATCGGTTACAGCCTGTAAAGTAAGTTCTTAGAAAAATATTAATGCTATCAAAATAATTATATATTAGTAACATAATATAAATTTTGGTAGAAAACCATTTGACACCCTTTATACTGATTTGAGAAAACATTTATATATAATTATTTTCTTCATATTATTTCATATATTTTTTTGTATATATAGTATTTGATATACTATTTGGCCTGATAAGTAATTTTACATAATACTTTATTACAAAATCAGAGATTAAAGAAATAAAATATATTTCTGTTTATGAAATGGGTAGTTAAAAAAGTGTACTACAACTGTTAACTACAAAATGTTTCAAAAAAATCATTATTGCTTATAAAAAAATCATTATAAAAATCATCTTGATAGCATCTTGATATTTTTAAATAATATTTTGTAATAATTAACCTATGTTTCACTTTTATTTATTTTAAGGTTATCAAAACAATGAACCCCCTGATGAATGTTGTATCCCACGAAAACAGAGTTGGACCTGAAACTGAACATATTTATGATGATTCATTCTTTGAGCGTTTAGATGGTGTTGCAAATGCATTGGATAATGTTGATGCGAGAATTTATATGGATCGAAGATGTGTTTATTATCGCAAGCCTCTATTAGAATCTGGTACTTTGGGCACCAAAGGAAACACACAGGTATGTTATGTGTAACTTTAATATATTATATTAAAGTTATTACAATAACTTTCTCTCTATGAGAAGTTAACAATTAAAATAAAAATGCAAAAACTTAACTTGTTTTGTTAAGTTCTACGCAAAAGTTGCATATACAGCTAGTTATAATTAAAATATAATTTATTGTGCCCAACATTTAATTTTTTACTTTTAGGTTGTTGTTCCCTTCCTGACAGAATCTTACAGTTCCTCTCAAGATCCACCCGAGAAAAGTATACCAATTTGTACATTGAAAAACTTTCCTAATGCTATTGAACATACATTACAATGGGCCAGAGATGCATTTGAAGGGCTATTCAGACAAAGTGCTGAAAATGCTTCACAGTATTTGGGAGACAGCAATTTTATGGATCGAGTGCTAAAGTTGCCTGGTGTACAACCTCTTGAAGTACTAGAAAGTGTAAAGGTAATAAACAGTTCATACATTACAGAATCTACATGTCACATCTTACTAATCCAGAAAGAAAATTATTCAACTTTAAAAATTTGCAGAATTTATTTTGGATACTCTTACTATTTATTTTTAAACTCATTGTTACAATTTTTTATTCATTTAGTTATTTTTTTGGTGTAATAATATATATTATTATTATTACTTAGGTTGCTTTATTAGATGAAAGACCTGCCAATTTTGAAGACTGTGTCAAATGGGCCCGATTGCATTTCCAAGAACAGTATTCCAATCAAATTCGTCAATTGCTATTCAACTTTCCACCTGATCAGCTGACATCCACCGGTCAATCATTCTGGTCTGGACCGAAACGTTGTCCTGATCCAATAACTTTTGACGTAAATGAGTCCTTGCATTTAGATTATATTTTAGCGGCTGCTAATTTGAAGGCTGAAGTTTATGGATTGGAACAAAACCGCGACAGAGCTGCTATAACCGAGATGGTTTCCAAAATTAAGGTAGAAATATATACATTATCTTCCTTACAAAATTATTTTAATTTAAGGCAAATTGCTGGAACTTACCATATGAAAAATTATTTTTTTTAAAAAAGATTAATATTCTTATTGAACTTTGAAAAAATTAGATTATTGTGATATTTTAAATTTTTGACTTTTTTGACTAAAAAATTAACTTTTTTGGAAAAAAACTTTGAAAAAAAAGATGTTTCATATTTTGAATTATTTCGGAAATTTTGAACTTTTTTTCAAAGCAATCGCGCTGCTTTACCTGCATAGGGACGAAATCTTGAAGCGCGTAAGCGCCGCGTTGCAGTTTAACGGGTAAACTATGTTGCAGAACCCATAGGAATGTAAAGAAAATTGATATACATTATTAAAATCTCTATAAAATATCTAATAATTTTATGTGCATACGTTTAATGATCATTTTTGACCGCCAGATGGCATTTTTTTTACTTTTTCTACTAGATCTCCGAAACCGCTAGACCTGCCTCCATAAAAATTTGATCAGTTTTTCATCTTGTTAATACAAGTAAATGGTTTTTTGAATTATTCAAATCGGACGCTCCGTTCTCTTAAAAACTGAGTTACCGGTTTTGGCATTTTTTGCCCCATATCTTCGGAACTGCTGGACCTGCCGTTGCCAAAAATTAATTAGCATGTCTCCTTATCGATACAAATCGAACATTTTTTAAATTATTCAAATCGGTTTATCCGTGTTCCCGAAATCGTCGACAAAAATTTGTATCCGCACACACACACACACACACACATACATCAATTTTTTCTAAAGTATGCCAAAATGTTCAGAAACCTCTGAAACACAAAGATATATAAAAATTTTCATTTTCGATTTTTTTCCGATTATAAAACTAAACTAAACTAAATCATAAAAATCGGTTTAGTCGTTGAGGCGAAAACGTGGACAAAAGATGGAAAATCGGCTTGCATACACTCACATACTTTTTCCAAATTTGGTATCAATAGCTTCAAAATGACTTGAAACTTTGAGAAAACATAAAATTAGCAAATTTTATTTTTTGGGAAAACAAATTTTTTCTTTGGAAAGTTAATAATTTAAATATTTGATATTTCTTAGGTTCCCGAATTTATTCCAAAATCTGGTGTTAAGATAGCAGTCACAGACGCTCAGTTACAATCTAATGGTGATAATATGGACCATGATAAAATATCACAACTGCAAACAGAGCTAGCAGAATTATCCAATCTTACTAAAATCAAAATAACACCATTAGAATTTGAGAAAGACGACGATACAAATCTGCACATGGACTTCATTGTTGCAGCTTCTAATCTGAGAGCCACAAACTACAAGATTCCGTTGGCAGATAGGCATACCTCAAAATTAATAGCAGGAAAAATTATTCCAGCCATTGCTACGACAACATCGGTCATTGCAGGTTTAGCTTGTTTGGAATTGTACAAGTTAGCACAAGGATTCAAAGAACTCACCAGATACAAAAACGGTTTTGTAAACTTAGCCTTGCCTTTCTTCGGTTTCTCTGAACCAATTAGTGCACCAAAATTATCTTACTACGATAAGGAATGGACATTATGGGACAGATTTGAAGTTGAAGGAGAAATGACACTGCAAGAGTTCCTAGATTATTTCAAGCGCGAACACAAACTTGAAATTACAATGCTTTCTCAAGGTGTTTGTATGCTGTACTCGTTCTTCATGGCTAAAGCCAAGTGTCAAGAAAGGTTAGGTTTGAAAATGTCCGAAGTCGTCAAGCGCGTTTCAAAGAAGAAACTGGAACCTCATGTTCGTGCTCTGGTGTTCGAATTATGTTGTAATGACGAAGAAGGAGGTGATGTTGAAGTTCCATATGTTCGTTACACTCTGCCGTAGTTTAAAGTATCTAGCTTGTAGAATATGTAAGTAAATTTAAATTACACTAAACTTATTTTAAGCATTAATGAATTTTGTATGCATACACTTTTGTATGTTTTTACCTAATATCATTTGGCATATATATTTATATATTTGTTTGCTTTTCACATGAATACATGGCTGCAAAAAGAAAAAAATATGAATTTTTAGATTAATTTAGAGAGACTAATGTTTGATTATTTTTATTATTGCCGCCTTTCTGGCAGGAGAACAAGTGCTCTTCTAGCAAAACTTTGGCATTAGACTGAATATCATACAAAAAGTATCTGTGATTTTGGTTTATTAATTTGGAAAATACAGATAATCAAATGTTTTGAACTAATTTTTACAGAAAAATATCAATATACATGTGTTTATATGAAAATAAAATATGGTCTTCAATAAAAAATTGTTGTTTTTTGTACATGAAAACAATATTTTTATACTTTACACCAATTATTTATAATATATTGCATAACTTGATGTACTCCATCTTTTCCAGCAGAGCCATCCAGAAATCCTAATTTTAATATTATGTCTGCACTTTCAACAGAACCGTTGACTTCAAGTTTATCTTCACCAGAATCATCGTAGGTCTCAAGATAATCTTGTTCTATTGACATTGCCATTTTTAAATATAGGTCCAATTTTGGCTTTTTGTTTGATATTTCTTCATTTTCTGCATCAGGTGGACGTTTCAAACCTGCATTTGTACTGCAAGGACCATTGTCTAGCGCTTTAGTATCACAGCTGCTACTAGAAGGTAGGTCCTCATTTTTTTTTAATTTTTGTTGTCTTTTTAAACGTCTCTGGTGTGACCATGTGTTTTTGAAAGCAGTTATTTCATATGTTATTCTTGATGATAATTGTTCAATTACTGTAAAATTTACCTGAAACAAGGGGCTTTAAGTTTTTATCTTAAACTATATACTGCATTATTATAATCTTGTTTACTTGCAATTTATCCAGGATTTTCTCAATTATTTTCTGAACATTTTGCAGTGTATACTGACTATTTTCCTCTTCAGATTCAAATTTTGGGATTATAAACAAAAGTGAATGTGTATTTGGTTTTAGTGCAAGTGAGTAGTCAGGAACTAAAAATTTATTCATAGCTTTATGTTAGAACTTTAAATATTAAGGTTTATCTTAATATTTAAACAACCTTTATGTAATGGATAGTTTTCAAAAGTCCAGGCAATGGCCCACCGCATCGTCCTACCTTGACAAAATCTTGTTTGGGCTATTTGTTTCGCTTTTACATTTCTAATTAAATTTTTAACAGGATTCACACTGGATTTATGACCTAACATTGTTGTGAAAACACTGAAATTTTCAGAAAACATTTAAATGATAGAGCTTTATCTATTTTTATTGAAACTTACCGAATTCTTGACTTCAATTTTTCACTTTCCTCAACAATTTTTTGAACAAAAGCTACTTCGCCTCCAGGAACAATCAATTCCTTTTCACTTCCAGTTTGAACTGCTTTTGGTGGAGGCCTTTTGTTTGATCGAGCTTTGCTAATATGGTCCAAGTCTTTATCTGATGCAAAAAACGGTGGGTTGCACATTGTAAATGTGTATGTTTGATTAGGATCAAGGGGTAGATCTAATAACATGTTATTTGATGTGTTATGATGTACTGAAAGGGATAATTGAGCTATGAACATTTTACACAATTAATTTAACACTATTTTATTTATTACCTACTTTGAATAAATCTTGACCTATCGTTTTTATCTACATTTTGTTTAGCAATTTCAAAACTTTGTTCATCACTTTCAGAAGCTAACATACTCCACTTATTTTTTTGATTACACAATAAAGGATATATACATGTTGCTCCACAACCTGTAAGATTAGTATACAGGTTAACAACACAACTACACGAGTATCAATTTATAATCATACCTATATCAATTCCATAAATAATTTCATCCTTAGCTATTTCCAAAACTTCTATTATATCTTCCAGCCACAGTACATAATTCAATCGTAAAGGTACTGCAGGTACTAAGCGATCAATTGGAATATCAATATCTAAATCGAAATCCTTTTTAAGGAGCACTTTGGTTAAAATTCGTAAAGCTACTGCATCTTGGAAATTAATTTTTATTTTGCCATCGAGACCCTGAAAGTGTGTATATTTAGTATTTATATATAAATAAAGAGACAAGATTAAGATATTACAGTAGTGGATATAGCCAGGAATTCAGGATACTTGATGGCTAATTCTGTAAAGTTTGGGGGCGATTTATAAATGTTCCTTGGGTGCATGTATTTGTTTAGAGCCATTTTGTAATAACATTTCAATGGTTGATAAATTAAGTAGGTTGATAATACTTATTATTACTTATTTGGTGAGAATGAAATTGAACTAGTGAGAATATGTAAAGTTAGGTAAAGTAAGGTTAGGTTATCTTGTATTTTTATATCTATTCATGTATTTAATATTTTATGAATTAATAACTATTTTTATCACATGGTATGAAACATTTTTAAACATAACGTATATATTTTTGGATATTTTGGAATGAGTTGAAATTAGAAAATCAATCAAGAACTTATTAAAAAAATCTTATATATACTCATTATAAAGTAGTAAAGTAAATTTAAAGTATTTTAATCACGTTTATTCGTTTTATTTCAAAATATTTTCACAACTTTGTTCTTATTTATCTAAACAAAGTAAATTTTATTATTATTATTGAACACAAATGTCATTTTCAAACACGCGCGCTTTTTGATTATGGCGTTTGCCCACCTGTGCTCACAAATTATAAAATTTAATAATTTATGCTAAAAATTACAATTTTATAGTATTTCAATCACATTTGTTTATGTTATTTCAAAATATTTACACAATATTGTCTTATTTATCTAAACTAGATATATTTTTGTATTTTCACAATTATTATTTATCATTTTCAAATCGCGCGCTCTTCATTCAACAATATGGCGGCGTTCTTACGCCCCAACTTCAGTATAGTTTTTGTTTGATAACTAAAATGGATGATTTCTAGTAACTCGGGTTGCAAGTGACGTATTGAACTTCTGTTGTGAATTTTTGAAAGAATATTAACAAGTGTTTATAAGTGAGTGACAAGTGTTTAATTACCAAAAAGGATTACAAATAACGTTCCGGGATTAAAGGTAATGTCAAAATTTATATTTATGTAATGTGTAAATGCTTCGTAATAGGTCATTATTTAATTGTTGTAAAATGGATTGCACAAGATGTTTTAGGGATAATTATCGACAAATGTAAATGGGTTGTCATTATAAGAATTTATTCAATGCGCTAGCAAATGTTTTAGACATGTTGCAATAATTTTGAGTAACATCAGGTGGGCGTAGTGATAAAATCAAATAATGCTCAAAAATATTGGGATTATTTATAACAACTTTGGTCAAAAGTCAAAGCAGTGAAATTTTACATTGACATAACCTAATTGTTGTTATGTTAAATGATCAAATTAAAAATATAAAATCATTCATTTTCTTAAATAAAAAATTATGTACACATTATTTCATTCACACAAAGTACATTCTAAAACCATTTTTGTATTTGACATATAAGTAAATGCATTTTCAAAGGAATAATAATAATATAATCCTTGTTGGATATTTTACCAAATTATTCTGTGAGTCTTGAAGTCGGTTTCAAATTTAAAGGGCATTTTTGATAAAATAGTTTATATTTTGTTAGATGCTATTTCAATATATTTATTTTTCATATTATATACGGCGAGTATATTAACACGTCTCTCGCCACGATATTATCAGATTTTTGTCATTAGTCATGGTAACTTTATTTAATAATTCAGTTAAAAATGTACCAAAGACCCTTATTGTGTCAAAGAATTTTTTTTGCCAAAATTCCTGAAATAACACTATTTTTTATTCAATTTTATATGTCACACATATATGACTGACATGGCCCTATATTAAAACATTTTTCTCTACAAACCTAGAAATTTTCATGTCAATTTGTAGTAGACAAAATTTCAAGTCTCATGTAGAAACTTCTTAGCGTCAGATACATATGATTGACATGGCACTTAACGTGTTAAACTTTATAAAAAAATTTTATTTTAGAATGTTTTGTCTTGAAATATAAAAATGTTGCTGATAATTCTACAAAATACAAAGTTAGTAAAAATTGCTGTAGTGGCTACTTCAGCTTCGTGAATCCCTTCATAGTTATCAGATAAAAATCTTCAAAAAAAACTTCTTCAAATACACTCTTAACAAAGTTAAAATATTTATTATATTTTAAAAAATCTTGAAAGTTTGGTTTTGTTACTGATATCTCAATAACATTACATTTGTAAGATAGTGAAAACATCTGTCTTCTCAAAGCCAAATATTTTTTTTGAAATTTTCTTTATTAAATTGCACAATATGTCTGTTTTTTGTCTCCGAAAATATCATCAATTTTGAGGATATATGTAAATTATCGGATAAAGCTTCTGTTTTTCTGAAAAGTTACTTTGTAGTAAGTTTTTTCAAATTTGTTAAATCAAGTTAAACTGAGTCATACAGTCATATGATATAAAATTAAATTAATATTTCATTATGAAGTAAGTAAGGACACAGAGGAGGACTATTGTGGTCAAACAAGTATATCGGCAAAAATAATTTAAATTTTGAAAAATCCTCTTGAACACATATTCTTTAATAGTTAAACATTGAGAATATCAAAGAAAAAATATTTTTTAAACATTCTAAACTAGAATACTCACATACTCTTTTTTGGTGTTTCTACTAATTTCTAATCAATATTATTATTTACTCATATTTTTTCGACAATCAATCAATCAATTTTCGCGACAATCAATTTCCAATGTTTTGATAATAACGAATTAGAGGCAATTAGCAGCGTAAATTCTGATTTGGCAATCAAAACTGGATTGAACATTTCATATTGTTTTCTTATTTATCTTCATTATATTTTATTATCATGCAATTTGATTTTACATCTTTTTTGTTAGAATTTTTTAAATTTTTATCTTGTAATATTTATTTTTATTATAGGCTATAGATTTTTTGATCATTAAGCCTTACATATTTACATTTGTTCTTCCAATACTCTTCCACATAAATTTACTTTTTATTTTAAAAATACATCTTGTATTAAATTGTGATCATATTAGCCAAATAGGTAGCTCATAGAATTGTACTGTATCCTGATTGCAATCGAAAATAATAATAACGAAAACAATTGTGGTCACTTTCAATCCAAACACTATCATCCTAAATTTTTATTGTATTTTAATCAAACATTTTTAAAGTTACTAGATGTTTAATTAACAGTTGTCACAAAAATTTAAATTTTATAAACATCAATTTTTGTACAGCAATAGGAACTTATGGGTTCTATAAGTTGTTACGATTCTTCTTAACCCCGTGGTTCTAGAAGGCAACTCAGTGGTTGACCAATTCATGATTTGTGTCGTAGAATTTGGCTACTAGATGGTCGGAGCCCTTCAAGTTTTTTTTGTATTTTCTTGAGATTTTGGTTATTTTCTCTGCAACTGTATGCATATCGGGATTATGGTGAATTAACCAATTTGGCGTGTATCTAGGAGCACCCACTATTTGTCGCAACAGTTCATTTTGAAAGCATTGTATCACGTTTATGTTGCTTTTATAATGGATCCCCACAATTGTATACCTTAGGTCCACATCGGTTTCAGGATTGTTTTATATATCACTATTATAACCATTACTATTACCAATGACAATGGTTCCTTAAGATGTTGCAGAATATTGATGGTTTCCTTCAGAAATGAATTTTCTTAACGGTAACTATTCTTTTTCGCTAAATTTGTACCTTTTGCTATAAGTCCTTTATGAAAGGTCTCTTAAGATGTTGCAGAAGTCCGCGATGCTCTCCTCTCGGTGTTCTGTTTTAGTTGTATATATGTTGTATGTATGTTGTATATTGTATATGTTGTATGTGGCTGTGTTATGCCTGGTATTTTATTAGCGACCTTGAAATAATACACGCGGTCGTTTGTAAACAACGCACGATGGTCTTCTTTGTGTAGTTGTAGATGTAGTATGTAGTGCACCTTACGAAGTGGTCAGGGCTCGGCAACTAACCCAAAATATAAAAGTCGATTTATTGGACAACGAATATATATTATTAACACCTTTCTGGACATGAATGCTATAGCATTCAAATTTTGAAGTCAATCATATTAATTTTAATGTAATTAATAAACCTGTCGAGGTAATAACTAACTGATAGTTTAGGTACTCGTATTATCTTATCCTGTGGTCACTAATCAGTTTGCGCAAGCAAATTGTGTAAAATAGAAGCGTAGAAATTGATATGGATGCTATAGCATTCATCTGATTGCCCTTATAAACGGTGTTTAATAAAATTTAGGATATTAGAACCAATTTAACACTAAAACAATTCATATATTCAAACACCCTCCACGCGCGGTCAAATTGACCTACAATTGAAACGTTGTCTATTTTATTAACAATGTTGATAAAAACTTAATTTTCTTGAGATTTTGAATATGCATCACCGAGTTAAACAGTGAAAAATCAACTGAAACAGAAATTCGTGCCTAAAAATGCTTTTATTCGTCGTCTCTGTAAACAAAATTCACGGGTTTACCGAGATAGGTTCAAAACGATGAAATATACCTAAAGTTGCTACGTACACATTTTCAATTTAATCTTACATTTCTTATCCTTCTTGCCACGTTTTCACTAAACAATGTACTAATATATAATCTAACAATTTTTAGTACACTTTTGTTGATTTATCTTATTTCTATTTGATGGTAATGCTTGAAACTTGGTGCAAGCATTTTTTTGGTTTACGTTTGTGCACCGTGAGAGTAATGAAATTTGATTTGTACAAATTGCTTCAAAATATGTGAATTATTTCATGTGTTTTAGAATAATAAATATTCAATTGAAGAATTGAACAATCTCTCCTCTTGTCATCTCTCAAATAGGGAAACTTATATTTTACATATTTACTATTGACTTCTCACACCATCCATAATTTTATACTAAATTTGTCTGGTTCATTTGGTATATTTTTGATAAATCTGCACCAACATTTCGACGGAAACTACTCCTCAAATAACATTAGTTTCCACCAGTCAAATTGACCGACCGCTGTGGTTAGGCCACATAACAATTGAAACAGTTTAGTTGAAACATATAATTAATTTAGATTATTAACTATTTATTTCTAGCATGTAGTGCTACTTTTTTATATATTTTTTTCTAAATATTTCTTTCGAAACATATTAATTTATTTT